ACGTTCAGCTAAACTTCGAGAAAACATGATGCAGGCAATTCAAACGAAATCGTGACTAGAAGTCGGAAAATAGAAGTGGTTATAAGCCGATTCCACTCAAATATAAGACGTTATCGACAGTTTGGTCGACGAGGTGCGGCGGCCTTCAAAAACTTAAGGGCGAAGTTGAAAGCAACCCCATCTTTGTGGGAAGACATATATCCAGGTTTGAAGGAAGGTATTATGCAGCCAATCTGACGTAGAGCTACCGGAGCACCTATCAAGTGTCTCCAGCGACGTGTGGCCATACAGCAGTTGGATGGCTGTGCTAACACCTCTCATGGATATTGTGATTGGTCCGGCCTCATTTCATATGCATGTCAGACTCGAAATGGAAGATGCCCACATACACGCCAAGCCTGCAGTGAACTAATGCAGTCGTGGACAGCTAAGAGATCAATTCCTCACTCGATTCTGAGGCCAGGCTAAGGTACATAAGGACCTCTGGCAATCCCGTCACTTTCAAGCACTCAACAAGCATCTTAGTCCCGCATCAAATCTAGACGAGGGCTGCACATCAGATCCCGCATATTATAAAGTAGGTCCCGATCCACGGTTAAGAGAGTTGCCTGATAATAACGATTGATTCCTAAGCGTATTCAACTAGTCTTCCTGTCTGTGGGTGCGCGCGGGATCTAGTCCCGCGTATCCCCCATTCAGCGGAGTCACAATGGTCATCACTTAACGCAATGTCAATACTGGCAAACCGGAGATGACGACGATGACTCTATTTTACCTACATACCTCTCCGAAGACCACGTCAACCGGAAGCAGGATGGGTCGCCAACAGACGTTGATGAGGACAGGCAGCTACCGATCGGACTTTACGTCCATGATGCATGCCTTCAAGATCCCAATTTCCCATGTCGCCGATACCCAGGCGTCTGGAAACAGCCATGCTTGAACCCAATGTGGCTCAATGATACAGTACACACAGTTTTGGTATCTAACAGCATGGAAAACGATATTCTCATCAACGCCTTACCATCCGCTCATGTTGACGGACAATTCACATCGATGGTCAAGCAAATCCGAACGGAAATACTCCAGGACGACCTAGAATACGAGACAGAATCAACGAACACCTCTTACCGTACAAAAGACTTCATCTCGCAAGCCTCATCTCCTCAGTCGACGCCCAATTCAACAGCATCGCCAGGGTCACCCACCCCCACAGAACGACAATCCCCACCGCAGCCTCCCAGTGCTACAACATCCTCAGCGCCTCAAGCGGCCACACTGATGGAAGACATCATGCCATCTGATACCATCTGTCATGTGGCCCCTTGTCGTGCGAAGAAATTCAACAGCATCGACGATCTACGCGCACACGATTGTGAGGCTCATCGATACCGTTGCGAAAAGGGATGCGAAGACGTTGGTTACCCATCCATCCGTGATCTCCGCTCCCGGCACTACGGCCCAGTCCACGGAGTCGGTTCGGCGCTGTATGTCTGCGGCCGCTGTGGGAAGTCAGATCACCGACAAGATAATCACACGCGTCATCTTGAACGAGTCAGGCCTTGTCGAGCAAAGCCTGTGGCTCGGCAATATACGTGTGGACGATGCGGCGAAAAGACCTACGAAAAGGAGAAGCATTTACAACACCTACGGCGAAGAGGCTGCAAGCCAACGCAAAAATAACGTCTCGAATTCTTTGGTTTTCTTTGTTTTGATTTCCTATTAAAGACTTGCTACTGCCAAGGCTGGACCAAAACTCTTTGTTAGGTGAAAAATCCCCAGTCATCAAGTAAAATCCTGTTGATCCGTCGCCTGCTTGTCAGCGACACATGGGTATTGATGTCTGTTTTGCCAGTGTGTGGCCAGATGCCACCCGTTCAGAGAGCGAGGTCCAGCCGAAGCAACCATGGTAGTGCTTCGTTGAAGTATTGGCAATCTGGAGTTTTTTTCTTCATCTTCTGTGAGCTGGGTTTGACAATGGTTTCGTATGACCAATGCCACTTCGTGGCAGGGGGGAGGATCCGGTTTTTTAGCAGTTTTCTTCGATTTTCTGTCACTTATTGCGCCAGCATGCCGGTAGAACTACAGGTAGCGAGGAGTTCAGGTCTAGAGAGTCTTTGCCTACTTTCTTCACAGAAAGAGAAAAGCAAGACTGGTACTGTCTTTGGTTGAAAAGCGTTTTCTCCGGCTTGGATACGGCTGAAAAAATTCAAAAACGACAAAAAAAAAAAAGGGGAAAACTTAACAAAACTCGAAGGGAAAAAAACTTGAAAATAGATTATATTCTACGGTACGTAGTATATAGAAGAAAAGCAGAACCGTGCAAAACAAACTGAGCTCAGTGACCCCTCTCGTGACTGTCTCCAGACGAGCCCACACATGTGTGACGTACACTCGCTTGCTGTGTACTTGAAATGAGTTGACTTGAGCTCAATCAGCTGGTCTGGCAAGTAGATACAAGAGGACACCCATCCTTACGGTTGTTAATCTAGATCAAATCACGATATCACATACTTGTTCAAGGTAAGGGGTTTTCGAGGGTCCAATGGATCGAAATGAATTGAGTATGCCCAAGCTGACTACAGCCCCGCGTCGGAAAGTGTGGCACACCATCATGTATGCCCAACTGGCTTTGCATGATGGATTCATTTGATTGGTTTGGCCTCAACTTGATGCATAAGACAAATTCGAAATGGAAATAAGGCTGCCGTATCAAGTTGCCAGCATGTCATCCTCCCAACCCGATCTGCATGCGATGCTGGAAAGAGGGGCTGTGGTGCTTGGCGTCCCTTTCAGCTCGGAAACTGAGGCCATGGGAGGACTTAAGCCAACAATCCGTCGGCGCGTTTGACACCTCTGACAACTCAAGGACATCCGACTTGTCGGTAATCCGGTCAGGCCAAGTTGCCGCGACACAGGGACGACGACCGTACCCTGACTTCGACCACAGGAGTGGTTCTTGCATGAGACGACTTTCTTGACGAAAGGTGAGTACTTTACCTTGCCAGAGACATCAGATCTAGACCCTGACCGCTTTGGTTGCTCTAGTCGAACCTTAGGAAACTTCCTGATCCGGGCGCGCGCGGGTGTTGATCCCGCGCTCTCCCCATTCAGAGAGGTTACGATGGTCATCACTTAATACAAAGGCTTACCGGTCGCACCGGGGATGTTGAAGACGCCTCATTTCCGTCTGAATACTTTATCGAAGCACACATTGGCCAAAGGAAGGATGTGGCAGTTGACAACGAGTGGTTGCCCCCGATCGGGCCATTCGTTCACAGAGACTGCTCTCAAGATCCCCAGTTTCGCCGTTATCCAGGCGACTGGTGGCAGCAATCTCTGGACCCGCGTTGGTTGACGAATAGTCTTCCAGCGATCGGCGACAATCTCATCAACAGCCTACCTGTTACTTTTGGCGATGGACAATCCACAACCGTATCCACAAAACTTCAACCACAGAACATCGCACCAACCCCAGGAGCAGAGCCAGCATCACTCGCAGCTTCATATCATACTCCAATACAACAGACTCTTTCTCCTCCATCAAAAACGTCTCTACAGTCATCATTGAGCTCGTCGAAGCGTACCACAAGTGCCGAAGCCTCCACCGTTCAGACAGCTCCCGCCGACGGTAAAGAGGTCCCCGAGATCGTGTGTCAACTAAAGCCCTGTAAAGGCAAGATTTTCCACAGCGTCGCAGCGCTCCACGACCACGAGGCTGAGGCACATCGCCACCGTTGTCCGGTATGCCCTGACGTCGGATACCCATCAATCCGCGACCTCACGTCCAGACACTATGGGCCAGTTCATAATATGGCTGCCGAGTACAGATGCGGTCGCTGTGGGATGACCCGTTTCCGACAAGACAATCACACAAGACACCTGACTGGTAAACGGCTATGCAAGGCCATGATTGTACCACAGCAGTATGTGTGCGGACGTTGTGGTGATGAGACGTTCGACAAAGAGGAGCACCTGACGCATCTCCACCGAAGGGGTTGCGGTATGATTTGATCTGACTTGGTTTGGAAACCGGGTTCTTTCGTTCTAAAGTTGTTGTTTGCCAATTTTGCTCTCGGATGAAGCTCTCGTCTGCGAAGATGACAAAGCTTCTCAGCCTCGACCTCGGGCTATCTGCATACCGGTGCGAGTTCATTTATATCGCGCCCGTCTCAATGGCGAAAGGTCTATGGCTAAGCTTCGGTCGCCCTTTATGTAGCGACCAAGCATTGCATGACATACGTTTTAAAGTGCTTGAGTGAGGCACTCTCAGAAAGAATTGTTTTCGCCACGTCGTACTCGTGTGACGAGCAATTCTCAAATGCTGACCCGGGATGGAGCACCTCGGTCAGTTTGTACGGTTGTGTTTCGAGGAAACTTCCAGCGATGTGAGATCGACTCTCATCTTTCGGATGTGATGGGTCTGTACGATGGTTTCGTATGACCACGAACCTCGCCCCTGCTGGGGCATTCGAGCATTTACATGGGGAGTATAGGGGGAGTTATTTGCATGAGAGATCCGATTTGGATACGGAATGGTAAATTGACAAGGAGGATTTTATTTTACGCTTCCAAGTAATATTCATCAGAATAGTTAGAATTTACACGGCCTCTCGCGTCAACTGGTTCAATTAAAGCATCGGCACAAAGTACCGCATACGAGAATTGTACTTGTAACGATTTTCAAGACAGCAAAACGATCACATCACTTCAAATAGCAGAGCGATCAAATCGTCCGAGAGCAATACTGGCTCTGCCATAGTGAATTCATGTCCAGACATACTATATGACTGGCTAATGGACATATCCATCCATCCGTCCATAAAAGCCAAGGGGCATGTTTAAGCCCCGATGCCTCATCCACCTGTAATGTTGAAAGGCCAGTCCTCTTTCGGGACTTCAGCCTGATGCCATGTGTCCCACCAAAACGCTACGCCATGCAAGTTTGTTGTTGTTTCCTAAGTTTCCGTACTGTCGAAACCGAAAAAGCCTTTTTGTGTCTAAGACGAGTCACCCTCCGATCCCTCCTCCAGCGACTGGCCATTCGGGGCCTCCTCGTTGGTTGTGAGACCCTTTCTGATGGCGAGCACGTTGTCTACGATGACGGCGTCTATACCCTCTTTCACTTGGCGCTGTTGACAGTCAGTATCTTGATGTGAAAGGGAAGGGGTATTGGGAACTCACCTGAACCATGATGGGATTGTTGTTCAGCGTTCCGTAACTGACGCACAGCAAACCACTCTCCTTGACGACCCTAACCAGGCGAGGGCTGTTGATGAGGGGCTCAGCGGCACTAACAATACCGATCAAGTTCCAGCGGCTCGCGAATCTGATGGCCTCCTGCAGCGACGACGCTCTGATGTCGCCGACAGGGCACGTCCCGGCATCGGTCAGGAACATGATGGGGATCGAGGGCTGCTTGAAGCTGAGGCACAGGCAAATGTCCGGGTTGAAGGAGCTGAAGATGATGTGCCTGTTGCCAGCGAGGTCGTACACCTTGGACAGCACGGTGTCGCAGAAGGAGTTGAGCTCGACGGCGTAGGTATCCATCTCCTGCTCCTCGCTCTCGTGCAGCATGGGGTACTTCATCTCGATGTTGAAGCCAATGTGCTCGGGCAGCTGGCGGAAGAGGTCCTCGAGGGTGGCGAAGGGAGCCTGGATGAAGTTGCCGCGCGAGTTGGCCTTGTAGCCCTTGGTCTTGAAGTCGCGGGTGTGCTTCATGCGCTCCTCGAGGTTGTTGCCGCTGCCAGTGAGGCCTTCGCCGGCGTAGCCCATGGACAAAGAGCGTTGTCTGGGGCCCGGGGCATTGTTGCGGACCCTTTCAATGCTCTCGTTGACTGCGTTTGCGTTCACACCATTGCCGTTGGAGCGCTTGGAGTCAGGGTTGATGTGGAGGAACTGCTCCAGGGTGAGTGTGTGCACGGGGGCGTCGATGCCCGTCTCGCTGACAAGGAAGTCGTGGTAGATGACCGGGACATGGTCCTTTGTGAGCTGCACATCAAACTCGACGTACTGAGCGCCTAGGTTGGCTGCTGCGATGAAAGAAGGTACCGTGTTCTCCCCGAGTTGGAGAGACTTGTTGCTCGTCAGGTTCTTACCCATGCCGCGGTGACCGATGACCATCGTCGTAGCAAGCTTCTTCCAGTAGGTCTGCTGGGAGTTGATCTCCATGTTGGGGTGGGAGAAGGGGGTGACTACAAGGAAGTTGAAGTTGACAGTGCCGATGACGTCCAAGTTGCTGGCCAGGATGGGCACGCAGACATCGCCCTGGAGGTTCATGCGCTTGGCGCCGATGGTGGGCTTGATGGAGGAGAGGAGGGCAACACCACGTCCAATCTTGTTCTTCTCATTTCCAGAGTAAGTTGGGACAATGTCGAACATGATCTTGACCTTTGAGGGGTCCGCGGCCTGGAAGACGATCGGTTCTGTCGAGACGTGCTCGTGAACGGGAAGGTCGACGATGGTCGGCTCGCCCTGGGCGCCGCTAGCCGAGACTACGATAGACAGAGCTGTGTCTAGCTCCGTCAAGTGAGCCTCAGTAAGGGGAACGCGGTCAAGCTTGACTGCTTCCATGTTCTTCCGCATATCCATCGATCCGAGGCTGACCAGGACCATGCTCTTGTCGGTGAGGTAGCGATGACCAAAGGTCTTGACTGGCTCAAGAGGACGAGGGGCGCCGTTCGACTTGCGGCCGTCGAGAGAAGTGTTATTCTCAGGTGACGACGAGCGTGAGTGGTCGCCATTGACCTTGAGCTCCTTAGTGGTTTGGACGAGGTCGGCGGCAGGGTGAGCCGCAAGCAGTCGAGCAATGTCCAAGTGACCACGCAGCGCGGCGTGCTCCTTGGCGGTCCAGCCAGAAGAATCAGCCTTGGCGACCTCAGCTCCGGCGTCAACGAGCAGTTGCGCCATAGATAGGTGGCCGTCGACTGCCGCAACGTGAAGGGGCGTCCATGCGTATGAGTTCTCGCCAATCTCCAAATCAGCCTTCTGCTCATCGGTGCCCTTGAGCAGCACCTTGGCGATCTCATCGTGGCCGAAGCGGGCTGCAAGATGAAGAGCGGTTTCACCCGTCTTATCCTGCCAGTTAATATCCACGCCAGCCTCGACGAGCATCTCCACGATGACTTTGTAGTTCGACTTGGTGGCCATGGCCAGGACGGCGCCAGATTTGGACACTGTCTTTCTCATCTCGGCCTTCCTGACGCTGACGCCCTGCCAGTTCTCACCCTGGAGCAGCGCCTTTGTAGTCAGGGGGTGACCGCCCACGACGCTCAGGTGCAGAGGCGCATAGCCATCGTTATCCTGCCACTCGGGGGCGTCAATGCCGTTCTCAACGTTGAACTGGCCCCACTCCTGCATCTTCGCCATGATGATCTGGCAAACAACGACGAAGCCGAAGCGGGCGGCGTAGTGAAGCGGGATGCGGCCGAATGAGTCTCTGCTGCTGAGCGCCTGTCGCTGCTCGGGCTTGAGAGAGTCGAGGAGGTACATGAGAATCTGGACGGCCTCGTCGTCCTTCCCAAGAAGCTTGGTCTCATTTTGGTTGAGCGCGCGAGGAGTGACCAATTGGGAGGAGGTGGCTGGCTGAAGGTCATGAGAGGTGAACTGAGTGCCAATCGGGAAGGGGTAGGATTTCGGCTCATTATCGGGGTCGTTGGATCTCGTGCGACCGATGTGAATGACGAGACGGTGAATGCAGTTCCGCTCGTTGATGTCATCGACCTCATGAAGCGAAGGAAGCTGGCCGAGAATGTATGCAATGCTGGCTTTGGATCTCGCAGCGATGGAACGCTGCAGCATGTTAAGGAGCAGGTTTTGAGAGGCGTGCTCGCCAAGAACATTGCCCTCCTCCAAACCAGCCTTCAGAGACTCCACGTTGTCGTTGCGAATCGCCTGGTCCAAGGTGTCGAGCAGGGTTTGCGAAAGCGTCAACATCGCCTTGGACGACACGCGGCCCAGCGACCGCACCGACCTGTCGGATCTGGAATCGTCAATGTTGCGGGCGTCGCCCAGCGCAGACAGCCACTTGTTGATCTCGGCCATCAGACGACTTGTCGTCACATTCTGGGCGAATGGCAGGGGGTCAACCTTTGTGGAGATGTAGCGGTGCTGCGAAGCGGCCGCGGGGAGCTTCTTGTCGAGCTTCTTGGTGATCTTGACGAAGCCGCGGCGGTTGATCTCGGCGAACCAGCTCAGGTTGCGGACCTGTACGCGCATCTCGAACAGGGCGGCCATGAGCTCCTCGATTTCGTCATCGTCGAGGTTGGAGACGACGTCGGGGACGCGGCCATAGCGGTCGCGCAGCAGGCTGAGACGGCGGACGCTCTCATGGAGTTTGCGGTTGTAGAAGGCGTCCACGTCCTCGAGGTTGCGGTCCACGGCGAAGAAGAATTCTGCAAAGAAAAACAAATATGGTTAGGGGTCTTGAACGGCGCATCCATCATCATAGTCCGGTCCGGCTCGAACCTGCTAAGTCCACCTTCTCTCCATTCCTGGCCGACTGGGCGGCTGCCTTGATCAGCTTCTTGAGGCCCTTGTAGTTGATGTAAAAGGCCGCCCACTCGGGGACTTGGTTGCGGGGTAGGCTGCCGTCCGTGTTAGCCAAAGTGTCTCTGTAAAATCAGGGGATAATAATCCAAAAGGAATTTGTTTTCAGTCTTATCGCACTTTTTGCTGAACTTCATGGTGTATGATATGAGGGTCTATTTCCGGTTATCAGGGGGCCCGGTGACGATTGTGGCGTTCCAGCGGCAGGTAGGTATGAGCGGTCGTGCGAAGCGGTATCGATATCAGAATGACTGTTGTAGAAAAAATAAACAAAAGGCTGATGAGTGAACAACGAGGTCGAAGGAAATTGAACAGCTGCTGTAAATGCAGATGGGCTAGAGGCCGTAATCGCTCATTTTCTTTCTTCGTGGTCGTTTCTTGGGGGTATCGGAGTTAGTTGAGAGGTTGTGGCTGTTGTAGTAGCGAAGCGCAAAGGCAACCAAGCTTCGAGTTCCGCGCGTAGCTCCGAGCTGCGATTGTTTTTTGGCAGATGCCAATTGTGTCTCCGTCAAGGTAGCTTTCTTTGCCTTTCTTTTTTGCGGTCCCAGGTTTTTCCAGGTGCAAGTCACGAGAATCCTGTCGGTTTTTGCAGGACGAAGGAGCTCCACATCCAGCTCGCCATTGATTGACTGAAGGATTTGATGACGATGCGGTTTTTGATCTCTCAGGCAGAAGACGCAGCAGAGAATCGAAAGAAGCAGCCGAGAAGCAGCAATCTGGGTCCAGGGAGCATCGGTCGGTGGGTTGGAGGGGGATTATGAATGAAAGCCAGACAGCTCAGTGACCAGACCAGACCGACCCGGACGTGAAAAGTGACGGAAGCATGCCAAAAAAGAGAAAAGAAGAGGTGTGAGCTCATCTCACATCCACCAGGCCGGCCAAGTAGCTGGGTCCAGGCCCCGAGGTATTCCTGCGCCGGTGGTTTTGTATCTCGTCACCTGGGTTTCGCTGCGCAGTGACTACCGAGTCCTCGGGACAGCACCTGTTTAGATGCGGTGGGGTACCTGCTACGGCCACGGCACCTGCCTGGCTCTGGATGCGCCGCCGTCTCTTCCCCCCTAAAAAAGGCAGGGCACCAGCAGCCAGCTTCATTCACCTCTCACACACAGTACACAATCGGACACAGTAGCAACCGCGCCGCCAGTCCAGCGCCAGTCCCTTCTGAACGTGACTGCGCACACTGGCTGGCACACTGGGCCCAGCAGAGGGAAAAAGGCAAAGGACAGCTCGGGGTGTGGCGTTATCGCACCGATGAGTCGAGCCACTGGGAAGCCGCCGTTGGCCGCCCGTGGAGCGCGGCCGACTCGTGATTCGCGGGGTCACGGGACTGCCGCTCCACCGCGGCTTCAGCTGGCGGGCCTGTCCATGTCCACCCCGCCGTTGGTGTAGCACAAATCGCCCGCCCATCCCATCCCATCCTTGGCACGCCGCACCGTGGCTCTCCCAAGCGTCTCTGTTGGTCTTCCAGTCTTTCCCCTAAGGTACCGTACTACGGGTAAGGTAGAACCAACTGACAAAGCTCACTCACTCACTGCTCCTCCCTCCCAGTGTCGGTACATACGGTGACAGACAGCGCCCTATCTCGTCCTCACCGATGCATCGTGGGAACTGCACCGCACCGCAGTAGTCCCCTCCCCTTTCCCCCCCGTCTCAAATCAAATATGTGGTCAAATCCCCCCCTTTCCGGCATCTGACTGTCGTAAGGGTGGGAAAGAAAATTCCTGACCGCCTCGACGCTTGACGCTTGTCAGGTCGTTCGTCCTCATGACCTCTCCGGGGGCGGGAAGGACCCTGAAAACCGACATCGGTCGCCCTCCGTGGCCCGTCCAGGCTGAAAGGTCCATCGTGAGGTACCGCTGCTAAAAATGCCCATGGCCAAACACCCCAGTCCCCTCCCACTCAGCGGCGAAATGATTCTTTTCCGCGCTGCGGACGGACTCCTGTGACTGACGAGCAGCGGCGGCGGCGGCGGTGGGCGGCGGGCCACAAGGCGAAGGACCACGCAGAACGGGGAGGAGAGGGCTCCACACCGGATCTGGTTCCCTTCGATGCATGTTCCAAGTTTTAGAATTTTAGGGGTCCTGTTGCTGCCACCTGGGCAGAGACGGGCAGCCCAGGAAAACCTCGGCATCCCGGCCTTGCAGCGACCTGGACCTGACAAAGAAAGGAGGGCATCGTGGTCGTTCGGAAAACACGGAGGGACCACTGCCTTGCTAACGCCCATAGTGCTGACTGGCCCCGAATGACCAAGTTCACTGGGTTCGATGGAAGGATGGCTGGTCGACGCGGTGGGCCTCGCAAAACCCGGATGGAACACGAGTGACGATATCAGCCAACCTTTCGGATGCACGATGCACCTGCTGGAGTCTTTTTTCTTCTTCAACACCCCGCCCCAACTATATACCTAAGCTGTGGAGGTAGAAGAGGAGTAACGGAACGACGCCGCCAATCCTTCTCGTGCGTGAATCAGTCATACTGGGGGCCGATGGCAATAACGGCAGCATCGTTAGACATGTGGCTAATTACAGTGCACTACTGCGTAGAAGGGGAATGGGTGCCGTGGCCAAGCATGGGACCAAGGACCCGGTCTACTACGCAGTGCTAGTCTTTTTAGGCTCTCGAGTTCCTGGGAATACCAGACTTGCGGCTCACGACCGTGGCATTCTTGTCGCCTCAGTGCCACAGGTAAAGGGGGCACAGAGTTCGGTGGCAGGTTCAACCTTTTCACGAATAGACTATCCGTACCACCGCTCAATCACGCAAAACCGTCAACCACCACCTACTGGCTGGCTTCAACGGTTCCATCGGGCCAATTCCCCGTCTGGGACCACGGCACGCCCCCCCTCTCTTCAGCTGGCCGTCGTCTTGTGCAAAACTCTGGGCTGCAAATTGACTTTCCTCCTCGACTTCCAATTTGTCTCTGCCATTTATCATTTCTCTCTTACCTTTGATTCCTGCTGCTGTCAATCAAAGGTCAACGTCAGCGTTGGAGCAAACTAAGCAACCGAATGCCTGCCAGAATGATATCACACGTAACCCCATCCCGCACCCTCCAAACGACTGGCAACCACCACAACCTCCCGCAACAAACATAGTTCATCCCTGCGGGCGGAACGCTCTGAAGTGCAACTCTGCGTGTGGCATTTCCCAACGCACTGTCGCTGCATATACCTTGGCAGAACCCCAGGCACAGGCACGGCGAAAGAAGCGCACCGCAATTAGGTACGCAGTCACGCAGTAGGTAGGTCGTTTGAGCCAAGGAAATCGCCCCAAACCATATGCTGTCATGTACGACAGTGCATCGCAGCGCCCCTGCCATTGGCTGTCTCCCCTTCCGCTGATGATGATCTACCCGCCGGTTCCCCGTTCCGGTGCCTGAACCGCAAACGCACCGCGCCGAAGAGCATGATGATATCGAGTAGTTCCCATTGTTGGATTGTCTCGCGAAAGGATCAATTGGAGAGGCAATCTGAGGCGTTGCAGTGTCATTGGCACTTTATGCACGCACTTGTTATTCTTCCTCCATCTCATCCCGTCTTGCTCTCGCATATCTTCCGCCGTCTTGGCTTGATCTTTAAGCTCTTCTGGAATCTACACTTCCGGTCAAGCAGAAGCAGCAGAGACAGCAGAGACAGGAACGACCCCGGATCATGGCGGAGAAACGCGCCGGTATTGTATCACGAGACGCAAGTAGATTGACGCATCGCTTTGTACATCATCGTGTTCTAATTGAATGTGTCAAGAAAATTGGTCTTTATGACCGGCGTCCCATGCCTGATATCAGGTTCGCCATAGGCATGCTGTGCATGCGCCAATGAACATGTTCGCCATCTTGATTCATCCAAGATGCCATGCTAGAAATACACGCGCTCCTATGCTCCTCTACTTAAAGGCTGCTCGCGGCTGCCAGCTGTCCGTCCCGTTCCCACCACATGCCTTGCTGAGAGACGTGCTCTCCAAACGTCGTAACTTGCTTTGCCGCCTCCTCTTGCGTTGACGTTGCGGGCAGCGCAATCTGCGCTGCCTTCTTCGTAGCCCTCTTCCGCTTTGCATCATCTTTGCCATTCGCTTGAGCCTGCTCCTTCATGCGGGCGGCGTAGACGGCTTCAGACTGATTCCTGCTGAAGATCTTTGACTTCATAGTGTTCAGATCTTGATGCCAACTCCTAATCTTCACATGCGACTTCTTGGTCTGCTGCATGATGCTGACGATGCGCAGACCTCGCCTTTGCGTCTCGTCAGCTAACTGGGACTCGTCCACTCGCAGCCACCGCAGCCATGGGGTCACAGAATACACCGTCCGATCAAGCAGGCAGATGTCAATCAGGTTTTGAATGCGCCTTGCGAGATCCTTCTGGTGCCTGTATTCCCCGAATGCTGGCGCGACGAGCTTGGGCTTCATCTCAATGGCGTGCAGAAGCTGCTGTGCAGCGGTTGTGTCCAAGGTGTATGTCACCTGCTCGAGCAAGTGCGTGGTCGTTTCGGCGCTAAACGTGATGCCGTGCTTGAGGCCGACGGCGAAGGCTGCCGCAGCTTGTCTCACGTAGTCGAACCTCAGCAAGCCATGTACTATAGCCGTGAACATGTCGTGGTCGAACCATGCCCGCTCGGTCACGTAATCGTTGTTGATGGCAACATTCTTCAGCGCTGCCCATATGAGCCACCGATCATCTTCCTCAACTTCTTCGATTGCCTTCCTCCGTATGCAGATGCCGCGTGGATCCTTGCCCGTCATGCGGTGAATAGCGCCGAAGAAACCCCTCGCATCTCCTGTCTCCTTGAAATGATTCAACAGACAGACCAGCGTCTTCCTTGTTGGTTCTACTCTGGAGTTGTAAAAGGAGCGTACTACTCTCTCGGCCAAAGGATGCAGCCCGTTGCGGTTGAAGCCTGCGATGAGGGTGTTGTATGTAAAAGTAGTGGGCGGTTGCGGTGACGCCAGAAGGTTATAGCAGATCTTGCCGATCTTTGTACGTTGGTCGTAGTCTGTGCTGGCGAAGACTGAGCCTATAATGGAGTTGAGCTGCGCACTGTTTTTCTTGACGTCAATCATGTCGGTTTGGCGCTCGTAGTACGGCAAGTTTCCCTGCCTGAGTTGGCCAACCTCTTCCTGAAGGTCATTCCAGTCGCGGGGCCCTAAAATATTCCTTGAATCCTCAACAATCCTATCAACCAAACTCCCCATGTTCTTTTCTGTAATCTGAAGTTGAACAAAGTTTTTGGGCGCACGGTGGCTCATCAGCGGATTTTGTAGTCGCTCTTCGCCCATCAGGAAGTCGTCCGTTTCTGTGTCGTTGGTCTCGATCAGCTTGGCGAAGGGATCTGTGTAGCCGAAATCGCCTGGCGCGACAAACGCATCCGTTGGTTTTTCGAAGCCCAATTCCTTCAGCAGGCGTTTGATCTCGCCGTTCCTGCGAAGCGTTCTGCCGTCCGTATGACTGAGCGAGTCCAGAAACTCCGCAATCTCGCCCTTCTGCGGTTTATGGTCGAATAACGCGCCCTTGTATCGGTTTTCGAAGCTTGCTGGAGGCGCCTCGCCCGGCTCCACATCTTGCGGCACGCTCCTCCTCATATTGTCGAGCTCCAGTTTCGCCCGCGCGATTTCCTCTTCGAGCCTCAGCCGTCGCTCGTCCTTGGCCTTCGCATCAAGCACAGCGGCGGACGCCATGATGCCCGTGTAGCAGGCCGTGAACATCTCGCCAAAGGTGGGTTTCCGGGGCGTCACCCGCGTAGCGGATTGTCGTACCATGCCCCCCGCGGCTTTGAAGCAGGCCTTGCAACCGCAATGAGGCGCCTGGCCCGCTCTGGACCAGAGTGCCTGCATTCTGACGGCATTCCGGCTGCAAAGGCAGCCCCAATTGAGTGCGATTGATCGTTTCGAAGGCGGGTGCGGGCGGGCGTCGGGGGGCCGTCGGCGTCGAGATTATGATCTGATGCGTAAATATTGTCGTTCCAAGGACCGAGCTGCCGAGCCCGACCCAATCGAAGATCGGGGATATCAAAATTGCTGTTATGCGATAAAGTGGGGGCAAATATTTGGCTAAACGTGCCTTTCGCTTACAGAAGTGACGCAACTGCCCCTCCAACCCCACCATCGAATGCTTTACTGTGAGCTCAGAGGGGCATCCTGCAGCCTCAAGAAACACTTTGAACATTTGGCCTATTAGACACGAGGGGTTAAAAGAAGCATATTCAAAATGTTCGCCCTTTATCTTACTGCAGAGCTGGAGGGGTAGGTTTGCCATCGCTGGCTTCTTCATTTGGCTCTCGCTGACCTTAATAGGGTCACCAACCTTCGCCCCGACGACAGCGAGGGTAACCCCTTCTGGTACACCTTCAAAGTCCAATGTACATCGTGCCGCGAAGTCCACGACAAGACTGTTGGTGTCAACCGATTTGTTTGTAAAGCTCTCCACCAGCATTGTACATAATTACTTACCGTTTACCAGGAGAACAACGAGATGAGCGGCAGCAGGGGCGAAGCCAACTTTGTGTGGAAGTGCAAGAACTGCAAGCGCGAGTCTTCGGCTTCCATCAAGGCCGCCCCCGCCGCCTACGAGCAGGGAGAGCCCGCCAAGCAACAAAAAGTCATTGAGTTCGACTGCCGTGGCCTTGAGTTTGTCGAGTTTATTCCCGAGGGAGAGTGGCTCGCAGAGGGCGCGGATTCGGGCACCAAGTTCACGGCCATCGAGCTCACCGACGGTGAGTGGTTCGATTACGACGAAAAGGCCGGCGAGGAGGTCAGCATCAAGGAGCTGAAGTGGGAGATCAAGCGTGCTTAGATGGATTCGAAAAGTCTTTGGGGAAGTGATACCGGGCGGCGTACGGGTGGGAGCGGAGTTGTTGTGTTGACGTCGATAGTTGAAGAGCGCGCAAATACCATCATGGCGCTACGCTTGGCCGACGGATTTCGGCGAAGACATTGATACATTGAAAGTCTTTCACATCTACAACGTCGAGACCTACATGTATCGGGTATTTAACCTCTAACCTAACGTAATTCTACAAGGTGGTGTTACCGACCTTCTTATTCCATGCATTTCATCATCAGACATCACGAAGCCAACCCGCCGTTCTGCCATGTACCTTCTTCTATGCAATCTAAGCGAGCTGTCTTGAAGGCTCGCCCCATACCTCTCCTTCGCGCTGGAGCATGAGGAATGCGTATTGATGCTGGGTTGGACGCAAACTTGCTTCCTGGGGAAATCAGCCAACTCTCCATCGCCTTCACGTTTCATCAAGCGTTGTCGTGGTCGATTGTCCAGGTCTCCTGTTTTCTGTCCGCAAACAGTCGATAACCAGACCTGGAAGCTCGCAAACGTGATAAGATCGCTCCTCGTCATTTCTAGTCGTCTTGCCGCATGATATTGACCAAGACCTCGATGGAGATCCTCGTGACCTCTGGCAACGCAGAACAATGCAGTTTTCAGATGACTCGTCCACAGACCTGCGGTTGTTTAGGAGACGTCCCAGTATAATGCGAAAACTGGCGATGCCTCTGTTGCCCCATCCCTGAGTCTAGCACAATCGCGAAGACACTTCCAGTCGTCAAGCAGTGACAACTTCCATTACAGGAAATAATCACCCGGCCCACGGCGGTTGGCGGGAACGTGACGTTGGTCATCCGGAACGGCAGAGAATATGCTGAATTTGGGGCTCATATCCTTGTCCACAGTCATGATGGATGCTACGTTACCGCAGCGGTAGCAGTAGTTGGGAGCAGACCAAACTGTGACGACAGAGTTTTGTGGGAAGTGGTACTGCTATATGTTAGCTGATTGATATGTGACAAGTGGCAGAGACATACCTTGTATCCCTCGTTGACAAGTTGATGGGCTCTGGCAATGAGCTTCAGGCCGTTGACATGGTTGAACTCTGTAGCCACCTTGTCGCCGAAAAGCCAGCCGGCACCACGGGGGCTGATGGCCCAGGTCTCCACATCCTCGGGATCTGACCAGACAAGATCGCAAAATGCACCCTCGTGGGGAATCTCCTGAGCGCGGGCAACGACGCGAATCTGATCGATGGTACGGATCTCAGGGCTGAGACCACCGTGAACGCAGAGTAGTTCGCCGTCAACAATAGCAGCCAGGACGAGGAAATCGAAAACGTGACAGCAGGCCTTCCAAACCGAGGCATTGCCGTACTTTTGCTGGCACTCTTCGTAAAAGCCATACACCTGGGTGATCTGGCGAGATTCGTGGTTTCCACGTACAAGAACAATCCTGTCGGGGTATCTAGACTTCGAGTTAGCATGTGCTTGAGCCCCATTTCTCTCATGCGACGTACTTGGCCTTCAAGCACATAAGAAGGGTAAAGGTCTCAAGACTGAAGTAGCCACGATCAACGAAGTCGCCGAGGAACACGAATCTGGTGTCGGCTGATTGAGAGCCCGTGCTAACCTCAACGGCCGAATCGGGCCTTGAGGTTGTGCTAGTATCGGCAGCGGCCGCTTCATCATCCTCCTCATCATCGGGAGCAGGGCTGCCTGCATTCTTGACCTTCTTCTTCAGTTTCGGGTTGGTGATCTCCGTTGGCGGCTCAATATCCTCGGGGCTGATGACTGTTGTGGCCGTCTTGGGTGCTTCAACTCGCGATTCACCCGGCATTCCACCTGCGACGCGGAACAACTCCAAGAGATCGTAGAACTGGCCGTGGATGTCGCCACAAATTGTCACTGGAGTGCACACGGGCTGAATGTTTGACTCTGGATTCGTGAGGTCAGTAAGATGCACAATCAGCCCGAATGGCGCGGTCCTTACCCTCCATCAGAACCTCTTTCACTAGTTCGCAAAGCTCCTTCATCGCGCGCTCTGGTAGATAGTGGCACTGCTTGGCCTCCTCCAGCCACTCATCCAGGCCTGCGTTGGGAGATAGTTGGGCAGGGCCCGGGCGGGGAATATGGCTCGCCATCTTGTCGTTCAACGCTTGTGTATAAACTTGAGAATTTCTCTCGACTTCGTACGGATCGAAATCTGCTGAGATGTTTGGGTTGAACTCCTCGGCTAACTCTAGCGACTCTACGTCTTCGTACTCGTCGGACTCGTAGTACTCAGGGTCGAATCCCTCGGGGAAGTCGCCGATGTCGAGACTGCCGCCGCGAAGCGATGGCTGGAATGAGTCGTCTTTGGTGGGGTCGTTAGGACGTCGAATAACGCGGCCGATCTGCGCAGTGCGAACCTGTGGCTCTTCGGAATATTCGAAGTCGTCCTCTTGGTTGGGCTCCTCTGCGATTGGCTCGGGAACACGTCGGCCGGAGGTAGGGCTGGGACGGACGTTGGGGGTGTCGTTGGAAGGAAGTGATATCGAGGATGAGCGTGGTCGGCGGCGTGAGAGAATGAGAGACGGAGGGTCTTGGGGCGTCGACAAGATCGGATTTGACCTCAGAGGGTGCGGTGGATCGGCGGGCAGGGCGGGGGGAGGGGCCTGGGTAGCACGATTGGGTGCGACAACAACAGGCGGTGGGGTGGTAGCGCCAGGGGGTAGCTCGGGGAGAGGTCTAGGCTGCTGAACCGGACTTCTCGAAGAATTCGAATATGCTTCACGGGCGCGTCTGTCGCTTTCTTCACGACGCGCGACTCTCTGGAGATGCTCTTGGTAGGGGTTATCGTAAGCCCCAACAACGACCGGACGTGGGCGACTGAAGTTGGGCGCACGCGGGCGTATCAGCTCTGCAGTGCGGTTGGCGGCGGTTAAAGTGGGGATATAGGCCGTTTCTCTGCCAGGGACCGGAATGCCTCGACCACGACTTGAACCTGACGCAGACGCAGATGACGGGACAGGACCGGCGGTAGATGCCTGAGGAAGTTGCTGCTGCTGCTGATCGGGCGGCTGATGCTGTTGACCGAGGTCAGAGTGTCTTGCGGGAAGGTTGAAGGATACCTCCGCTGAGCGATTGCGTGCACGGCCGGCTCCAGCTGGCCCGCGGCGAGGGACGTTGGTAAGCGGGTTTGCGAAGGCGAGATTCGCACGCTTGATTGCAGCCTCGATCTGGGCTTCACTTGGCGGCGAATAAGTCGAAGTTGTCGCGCTGTTGTCCTTCACAGAATTCTGAAGTCCGCGGTTGATGTTGTCCTCACTGAAATCCGGAAAAGCTTCCGGAAAGTAGTCGTCTTTGCGAGGCTCCTCGCCCTCGGTGACCTCGGTGGACTCGGATCCCTTGTCCATTGTCTGTGGCTTGCTTCCACCTGGGTGAATCTCGGATAAACTCTGTTGCAGGAAGAAGGTTTGTCCGAGAGAGAAGTGGCAGGTTAAGGTTTATCCGAAGATGGCCCTGGGAAGTTCCTGCCAAAGGAAGCTATCCTAAAGAGGCTAGTGCGCTCTTATCTGATAAGGCCCACTTCAGACGGAAAGTGCTCTGTGCTCCATTCTTTCAGATCCGTGATTGAAGTGAACCAAAGCGCCCCGCGCCGCTACCCTGGCGTCACACCTCTACCACAATCACAGGCCCAAGGCTGTGTCCCTTGTTGGTACCTAGGGCACAGAGCAATCATTCAGCAGTTTCGGCATAACAGCCTTTGAAAGTAATTCACATCATCTTCATCTGGCTCACTGAAACACCAATTCAGCCTCAAGACAAAGTCGCGCACTCTGTTTGGAGTCAGGCGCCGACAGTACAAGAAACACATCGACTCGAGTCGCAAACAACGCCTTGTCCGCAACGATGGCCACATCAGGCTCCCAAGGCGCCTCGCGTAAGACGAACGGTGTCCTTCCTGTCTCTGGCCAGCAGACGGCCGCCGATACGCCAAAGTCGAATAAGAGTCGTGCTGCGGTCGAAGGCCACAAAGTCGTTATCAGGCGATTGCCTCCGGGCTTGACGGAGCAGGAACTATGGAACAAGCTTGGAGATGAGTGGAAGGCTGGACAGGGTCTTGTCAGCTGGCACAATTTCGAGGCCGGCAAGATCTCTCAAGAGTAGGTACTCGTCAGTCTGCTGGCACTGCGAATCGGACTGACTGTGGTTCGCGCAGCGCTGCGAAGCCGTCGCGGCCGGCAAGAGTCTACCTCAACGTCTTGAAGCGCGAGGACCTAAATACCCTTTCCAGCTTGATACAGGCCAGGTCCTGGGAGGACGCCAAAATGACGTCCAACAGTCCCTCCCTTGTCGGGCCTCCGGTTCTCGAGATGGCGTCTTACAATAAGATTCCAAGCGGCAAAAAGCGCACCGACCCCAGGCAGGGAACGATCGATCAGGACCCAGAGTTTATGGCCTTCCTTCAAGATTTGACCAACCCCGAGCAGAACAAGGAGACCGAGGGCAGCGAAAGCAAGGATGCGGCCGACGAATCGAAGCCGGATGCCAAGGTCACGACGACACCTCTAATCGAGTTCCTCAAGGAGAAGAAGGCCAACAAGGCCAAAGAGGCGGCCGCAGCTAAGAGCGCGAAGCAAGCACGTCAAGAATCTCAGAACGCCAAGGGCAAGGCATCGGCGTCTACAGAGGATTCGAAGAAGGGCAAGAAGGACTCGAAGACGGAGAGGTCTGCGGAGAAGCCCAAGGAGACGGTCAAGATTCTTACGAAAAAGGCAACCGCGGATGCCGTCAAAGCAGCAGAGGCCGTTGCCGGCCAGATCACCCAGAGCTCTTCGGCCGCTCAGGAGGCACCTAAGAGCCGACGAGCTGGTATTGCAGCTGCTGCACGCATTCTGCAGCGCGACCTTGGCATCAGTCCTGGCAGCGCTCATAGAAGGGCTCGTCTTGACGCTGCCAAGGCAGAGGCAGAAGCGAAGGCTGCGACTCCGAAGGAGCCTGCTCAGCCCGCGGCTGAAGTTCCGGCTGCTGCGGCACCACCCGCGCCACCAGCCCAATCCTCCTCCAATGCTGGCCAATCCTCGGAGCGCAACGCGGCACCCAGTGCGCCCAAGTCAGGACGCACCCGTAGAGGTGGAGGTGGTAAGAACGCGGCTGCCAGTGAAGGAAAGGGCAAGTCCAACGACACTGGTGGTTCTTCCAACACCCCAGCGCCCACCAAGACCCCTGTTGTGCTGCTCAAGAAGAGGGATGAGAAAAAGAACGAGGAGAAGACAGAAAGGGCCGAGAAGGCCGAGAAGGAGGCCTCATCATCCCAACCAGCGCCCGCCAAAGCCAACCCTCCAACAGGACCTAAGGGCTCAGGGAAGGGCAGCAATTCCAAGAAGGGTGCCAGCTCTGTTGCAGTCACCCCTGGCGCCACCCGCGGCTTCGTCAAGCACGCCAACCCGTCCCAGGGTGTTACCGAGAACCTGCTCAAGCAGGCCATGGAAGCGTTTGGAACCGTCATCTTCGTCGAGATCGACAAGCGCAAGGGCTTCGCCTACGTTGACTTCTCTGACCACGACGGGCTCGCCAAGGCTATCGCCGCCAGCCCAGTCACTGTCGCCCAAGGCACTGTTCAGGTTCTCGAGCGCAAGGAAAAGAAGCCCGCTGCCAGCAACGCCGCCAGCACCAACAACTCTGGCAACGCAGCTTCCTCCTCCAATGCGCCCGCGGCATCCTCCTCAGCTTCCGGCGCAAACAAGGAAAAGGACGCCAACGCAACAAACAACCCTGACAAGCCTGAGGAGCAGCGCCACAAGCGCACTAGGCGTGGCCGTGGTGGCGGCAAGGCCGCGGCCAACAAGGACGCGCAGCAGCAAGCTGCCGCCGCCGCCGCCGCTCCCGCTGCGGATAAGGCTGCAGGTGCGGGATGATTGCTCAGGCAACCCACCCCAAGTCTACGGTTTGCGAATGGTATATTTTTGTGTGTACCTTACATCGATCTACCCTACCTACGCATGCGTGCGCGTGGCCCCAGCATGGCATTAGCATGGGCGGCACGTCGGCGAGGAAATGTGGTTGACTGGCGAGGGCGAAGGCAAAAAAAAGTAGGATTGCGACGCCGTCACTGTGGTCGTGGCTGCGTTTCTGCCCAAAGGGGGGCCTCGGGAACCCAAGCAGCGAACCATTGGGCGTGCGCGTCTCAAACCCTTGACAAAACCCCCCCGGTCGCTGACTTGCAGTCACACATTATCGATTCGACGTCGACCTGTTGGAGAGTTTCCATCGTCTCACAGGATGGGACGGCCAGCAGCGCGAATGGAGGGCCGTGGCGGGATGCGAGTGAGGGCCCGAGTGGATGGTTCGGAGTGGATAATTGGAGGGAGTCTAACGCACGTCGGCGCCACGAGAGCATCAATACGACTCTCAGTATCATTGGGCCTCTCGGTATCACTGGGTCACGTCACATTCGTATGGGCTCGAGAAGAAGGAGTTGTAGTAGAAAAAACACCAAGTTTAACTTTTGATTGTCCTCAACGGAGATACATCTCTCTAAGGGGTGATCCCGCCATCTCAAGCTTACAAAAAAAGGCAGTGCCCTACATCAATCCATAGATCCATCAGTCCATAGCTATTCGTTCCTGCGTGCAAACGCGTCCCAAAAAAGAAGCCGCTCATTTCCGAATAAACAAGGGCCCAAAAAAGTCTATCTAAATAAAGAGGAAATGTGATAATGCTCCCATGCAAATCATACAACGTGACACACACAAAATACTTTCTGCAAAACCGGTGGTTTTCCGGTTTCCCAATTACAAACAAGGTTGATATCTCATCCGCTGCTGCTGACGCTCATTTTACCAAAGCCAAAACACCGTAAAACAAAAGAGCAAGGAAAATTCCCAGCAGGATGCCGTGCGTTTCGCGAAGGGCGCGGGCGGCGCGGGACCTGGCGTCGGTGAGCCAGAGGACCTCGCCCGCGTCGCGCCGCGCCGTCTTGAGCCCGGGCAGGCCGTCGATGGAAGAGGCGTTGGTCTCGAGCTGGTACTTGTGAACGGTGTTGTTGTCGGCGCGCTTCTTCCAGTAGTTGTCGAGGGTGGGGCGCTCCTCAAAGACGGAGAGTTCGTCTTTGAGCTCGCGATGTACTGGTGATTGCTGCCCCTGTTCGAGAGACCCGTCCTCGGATGTCGCCGCCGGGGCGTAGAGCTCCTTCCTAACCATGGGCACGCCGAAGCCGCAGCTCGTCTGGACCTCCCACACGTCGCCGAGGACGACGGCCCTGGCGCCGTCGTACGAGTCCCGGCTGCTGCCCTGCGGGACGATGCGCTTCATCCACGAGTCAAAGTCCGGACTGTCCCACTCGACAATGCGGCTCCGGCAGAAAATGCGGAGAATGCGCGGAGAGGGGCCGAAGGACATGAACATGAGGGTGAGGCGGCCGTTCTCGTAGCTGTGGGCGATGGTCTCGCAGCCGGAGCCGGTGCGGTCGATGTAGCCGACAAGGTTGGGGCCGAGGACGGCGAAGTGGGCGGAGAGGCCCTTGGGCGAGACGTTGACGTGCGGGAGGTGGGTCGGGGCCGAGGCCGTGAAGAACACGGGCTGGCGGGCGGCCCAGTCGGCGAGGTCGGAGCTCAGTGAGGGGTAGAGCTTCATTGTGTGTGATTTTTGTTTGTTTTGTAATTTTCTTGGTTCGCAGTTGAAAGTTGGAGTCGATTGACTGTTGGAGAAAGAAGAAGAAGAAAGGGGGCTGGATTGATCCAAGGTGTTTGTCGTCTCAAACGTATATAAGGGTATTGGGTATCGCAATGTCGACGAAATGAAATCTGGTACAGGATTTGGTACATGAAATGAAAAGGAACAGATGAAGAAGCGGTCGCATCGTTGAAATAGAATCGAGTCCGAGTCCGCGACCGGCAATGGCGGTCGTGTTCGTGTGAGAGGAATGAGTCAACCCATTGCGTCTCATCCCATGTTGGACGTCTTTGGTCCAGGTCGGTGCGGGGTGAGATAGGCAGGCTTGGGCTTGGATGCTCATCCCTCCTGTCAAGGTGTCAAGGAAAAGGAAAAGGCGCCTTCCGGGGGAAAGGCGCCGCGGGCGAGGGAAGGGGGAGGGGGCTTTTTAGCGGGCCCTGGCTCCCGCTATCCGCCTGTATGCGGGATGCGGTGCCAGGGATTGTGAAGAATTTCCGCTGTGACTGGTGTGATGCAGCGCATCATAAACGTATTTTCTCGTTAAACAAAATTGCCCGACTTGGTGCGTCGCACAGGGCTTGTTTTTTCGCGCGTGGCTTGGGAATTTTTTCTCTCAATTGCCCTTACCACTGACGCGACCTGCCGCGGGTAGTGTCTGGCAGGGGGGATGCGAGGGGGTATGCGTGGTAGTGGCCGTCCTCGCCGGCGTAGCCGTCGTCGTAGACCGCCGTGCTGCCCT